CCAGCCCCCAAATTTAATTCATTTTTAAAAAGGTAAACAACTTGTATACAACTCAAACTAGCATTTAAAATTTTCTAGCAAAAGCCAGGCATGGTGTACATGTTTAGATCCCAGTACTTGGGACGCTAAGGCAGGATGGTTATGAGTTCAAGACCAGCCTAGGCTACATCGTGAGCCCAAGGCTAAACTGAGTTATATAGTGGAATCCCTTCTTAAAAATCTTCTTTAAGGGTCTGGAGAGATGGCTCAGCAGTTAAGAGCACTGACTGTTCTTGCAGAGGACCCAGGTTCAATTCCCAGCACCCACATGGTGGCTATGAACTGCCCTTAACTCCAGTTCCAGGGGAATCCAAAGCCCTCTTCTGACCTCCTCAACATTGCATGACACAGGTGCACTCACATACACGCAGGCAATACACTCATACACAGAAAATAAAAGTAATAAATAAAATATTTTTTTAAATCTTATTTAAATTCCCAGAAGCACTTTAGATGCATCTCTTTTACTTTTTCATTATTTTTATTACACAGGTTTTATATATGTGTGTATATAGAGAGACACACACATATATATGCACATATATATTACAGATAAGCCAAAAAAGTCACTTATGACCCTAGTGTACCCAGGCAATTTTTAGATGTTTTATACATTTTTTTCCTTTTGAATTTTTCTGTAGCTACACACACATTCATGCTTGCATTTTTTTTTCTTAGAAAACCTCACTTCCGTTATATGTGTTAGCCACAGATTTCTTTTTGATAAAAATATTGTGCGTGTGCATGTGTATGTGACCACTTCAAATAATAACGTGGTGTCCTGGTCATCGTTATTTAATAATCCCTTATTCGAGGTTATTTTAAGTTATAATCATTCTAGTTCCTTATTTTTTTTACAATCATAAGCTGAATTAAAATAATATTGTTTACCCTATGTCTTTATATAATTGTCAAATTATTTCCTTTAGATAAGTGTCAGGAAGTGGAATTTGTTGATCTAGAGCTTATCAATTCTTAGGTTTTGAAAAATATTATTTTTATTTTGTGTGTGTGAGTGTATTGCCTGCATGTGTGTAACTACACCCATGTCATGCACTGCCCATGGAGGTCAGAAGAGGGCGTCAGATCCCCTGGATCTGGAGTTACAGATGGTTGTTAACCACCATGTGGGTGCTGGGAATCGAACCTGGATCCTCTGCAAGAGCAGTCAGTCACTTAAGTCACTTTGTTCTTGCATTCCCATTTTCAGGCCCTGTGTAAAACAGTTTTTCCTATCTGTTGTAATCCTGCTTATTCAGTTTTACTTGCTATCTTTTGTTCATGTTTCAATGTCTTTTTCTTTTGTATTTTAATGAATTATTGATGTAATAAGGCTTGACCCCTTCATAATGTATACTGAAACAATTTCCTTTTTTTTTGTCTTACTGTATCTTATGCCATAGAAAACTGTATAGTGTGAGTGATAAAACTGTATAGTGTGAGTGATAAAACTGTATAGTGTGAGTGATAAAACTGTATAGTGTGAGTGATAAGTGTTTCCGTTTCTGCTTTTTGCTTTTGGTAAAATGCTTATAAAATCTTCCCTTATCCCAAAATTAAGTCCAGGATGTCACTGTGTCATCTGTGCTGAACTGGAGCTCACAGTCTCTTGTCTCAGCCTCCCAAGTACTGAGAGTAAAGACATAAATTACCATGTCCAGCAAACATATAATTACTTTTGTTTTTTTAAAGAAGCTTCCTTGTGCAACACAGGGTAATAGGGCAGGGCTCAGGGACCATTGCAGAAGAGGGGTTGAAAAGATTATAAGAGCCAGGGAAGGAGGTGCAGCACCCACATGGCAGCTACACAGACATACTTACACACATGCTCACAATACACTCACATATAAAATAAAAATAATAAAATCTTTAAAAAAAGATATCATGTATAAAATACACAAAATTCAATTTTTTTTTTAAAAAAAAGATGCTATATAGGGGGCTGGAGAGATAGCTCAGCAGTTAAGAGCACTGGCTGCTCTTGGGGAGGACCCAGGTTTGAATTCCAGTACCCACATTCAGCTAATAACCGTCCATAACTCCAGTTCCAGGGGATCCGATGCCCTCTTCTGCCCTCCGAAGGCATTGCATGACATAGGTGCACTTAACATACTGCAGGCATAACATAGATACACATAAAATAAAAATAAATAAATCAAAAGAAGTTTTTTTAAAAAGATGCTATCTCTTTCATTAATTATTTTTCTTGTTGCTGTGACAACATACCTGGCAAAAGCAATTCAAGGAAAGAAGAGTTTATTTTGGCTTACAGTTTGTGGGACTAGTTCATGATGACGGGGCAGGAAAGGCGGAGGGGTGTGAGGCAGCTGGCCATGCTGCACCCACAGGCAGGAACAGAAGGAGATGAACACTGGTGCTCAGCTCACTTTCTCTTTTTTATTCAGTCTGGAGCCCCAACCCATGGGATGGTAACATCTGATACCCAGGGGTGCTCTCACCTCATTGAAACCCTTCTGGAAACACACTTCTAGACATGTCCAGAGCTGTATTTCCATTGTAATTATAAATCAGATCAAGGTGACTGACAATTAAGCATGGCATCTGTTAACATGCAATGAGTTCATTATTGTTACTTTAGGTATCTTTTTTTCAGTGCTAGAAATTGAACTAAGGACCTCACATGTAGCAGGTACACGACTGAATTATGTCCTGAGCTCCATTGCTTTTAAATGAATTACTAGATAAATATTTTTTAATTTCTCCATTTAATTTTAATATTTAAATATTGACAAGTATGCACATTTTTAAAGGTTCTTAATTTTAGGAATGTGAAAACCAAAAAAATTAGGATTTCTTATAGTTCAGGCCCACATGTGAGAAATTCTTAGGTTTTGTTTGGCTAAAATGGCTTTATTTCCTCTTAGTTCTATAAAATTTCAAAAATTCATCTTTGTTTAGCATATGGTCTTCTAGATTTCTCCATGGCTTTGACAAGTCAACTGTCGTCTGCTTTTTCTGTGAAAGAAATTAATTATTTTTCCCTCTGGCTGCTGTCCAGGTTTTCCCTTTTTATCTGTAATGTTTTATGTTTCATTTTGATGGCCTTGATTTAAGTTTCTTTTTCTTGTTTGACCTGGAATGTGTTAAGCTTTTAAAATCTAGACTGGTATCTTTCACCAGTTCTGTAAAAGACTTAAATATTCCTTATTAATATTTTTCACTGGAGTATTTCCTCTAGAAATACTTACTATTAGGCCTTCTTATTATATTCTCTTTGCTTCTTCAGGCTATCCTCTAGAAAGTCTCTGCTGTCCTGACATTCAATTCAAAGTTTTGTTTGCTTTTGTTTCTTATCTGTTGGTAAATCCACCCAGTGCGATGTAATTCTCAGTACAGTTCTTCATTTCTAGAAGGTCTGGTTCTTTTGAAATGTGCTAGGTACCTTGTAACTTTTTACCTGAAGACTATTCTCAAGCTTTGTTTTTTATTTTGTTTTAACATTGTAAGCAGCATTGTTGGACGACTGGTAATTGTAGTACCTGTGGTCTTTATGAGTCTGTGTATTGGCTGTGTATCTTCTGATCCTCCTCACGTAACTTCACATTGTTGTGTGCTTGGTTGTCGTTCAGTATGTGCTGCTGTTCTTCTGAAGTCAGTTCTTCTCAGGATAATTTTTGCTTGATATCTGGGTGCCACAGAAATCCAAATTACTTGAAATATACTATCCTAGAACACTAGAGTGATAATCTTTAGGATCTGACCCAGGTCTGCTTTATCAGAGTGGGGAACATTGGGAGCCTTTAATATGGGCAGGAGTTCTGTTAGACTTCATGGTTTTGACAGGTCCTGGGCTTTGATATTTGTCCTCTAAACAGTAGCTTGGGGATAGAGGGGCTGGAGAGATGGTTCAGCAGTTAGAGCACTGGCTACTCTTGTGGAGGACCTGGGTTCAATTCCCAGCAGCCACATGGCAGCTAACAACCATCCATAACTACAATTCTGACCTCCACGGGCAGGTACACTTACACACATGTAGGCAATACACTCAGAAACATAAAAATGGCACGTGCCTTAATCCCAGCACTTGGGAGGCAGAGGCAGGCAGATCTCTGTGAGTTCAAGGCCAGCCTGGTCTACATAGTGAGTTCCAGGCCAGCTGGGGATATAGGAAAACCCTGTCTCAAAAAGACCAAAAATAAAATAAAATAAATAAATAAATAAATAAATAAATAAAAGTAATAAATATTTTTTAATGCTTATGTGTTGGTTGCTAAAATATTTCTAAATACCTGATCAGTGAGGGACATTTTGGGAAAATTGAACATTAATCTAAGTTGAGAGTAATTAATGATCAATCTTGAGTTCTGAGGGTTTTTTTAAATATTATTATTTTTATTGTATGTGTATGAGTGTATTGCCTGCATGTAAGCGCGTGCACCTGTGTCGTTCAGTGCTGCAGAGGCTAGAAGAGGGCTTTGGATTTCCCTGGAACTGGAGTTAAGGATGGTTCATAGCTGCCATGTGGGTGCTGGGAATTGAACCCGGGTCCTCTGCAAGAGCAGTCAGTGCTCTTAACCGCTGAGCCATCTCTCCAGCCCCTGAGTTCTGAGTTCTTCAGCTACAGGTTTACAAGCATTTTGCAGGGCTGGGGATATAGCTCAGTTGGTAGAGTGCTTGCCACTCACGCAAGAGTCCCACCTTGGGTTCCACCCCAACACTGCAAAAAGAAAAAATACATACATTATATATATGACTGGCAGATTGTTCAGTGGTGAAGGCTCTCCCACAGCCTTGACAACCTGAGTTCAATCCCTGGAAATCCACATGGTAGAAGGACAGAACAAATTCCCTCAAGTTGTCCTCTGACTTACATATACACACTGTAAAAAAATGAAATTTAAGTAGTAAAATAACCCTATTTTACTTTTAGACAAAAAATATTTGTGGTAATTGTCTAAATATCACTGTGTTTTGACTTTTGCTTTTCTCTCTTTTAACAGTGTCATCAGCAAGGTGGTCCCAGCTCCTGAGGCTAAGCCAGCCCCTTCCCTGAACCGACCAAAAACCCCACCACCAGCCCCAGTCCCTGTCCCTGTGCACGTGAGCCCCTCTCCTCTGCCACTGCCACTGCTTGCACAGGCCGCAGCGTGCCCAGCTCTGATGCCATCCCCAGCCCCTGCCATCTCTGGAGCAGGAAGCTCCAAAGCTCCTGTGCGAAGTGTGGTGACGGAGACAGTAAGCACTTATGTGGTGGGTACACTTTCACAACACTTTAGGGAATTACTTGAGTGCCTATCATGGAAATATTTTCAACTGGAAAGGCATGCTCTATGTGTATATTGAATCTGCAGTGCTTCATAACTAGAAAAATGTTTCCTTTGCAGTTTCAACCTATTGGCTAAAAACATGTTACAGTGTTCACATTAAGTCACATAGACAATGTGAAATTGTTTTATATTTATATTGGTTTGAACTACGACTACATAACTAAATTTAACACTATCAATATGTAAATGTAATATTTAAATAAATAGTAATATTTAAATCCCACTCTAAATTTCTTAATGGAGCAACTAAATTATTCATTTGTGGGTAGGGTATGATGGTGCATGTCTTTAATCCTGGCACTTGGGAGGTGGAGGCAGGTGATTTCTGTGAGCTTGAGGCCAACCTGGTCTATACAGTGAGTTCCAGGCCAGCCAGGCCTACACAGTAAGACCCTGTCTCAATAATAGTAATAATAAAATAATAATAATAATAATAATAGAAAGTGCACAAAAACTTGTAAGAAACAAATCGGCTCATTGAAGGACCAGTTCAAAGGTCTAACTGAGGCAGCACCACTCCCGAGTGAGTGGGTCAGAAAGAGTTTATACTTAACCTTCTCACCTTCCGTTTGTTTATCTGTAACTAAGGGGGTTGTGTTAGACTCAGTAATATCTATAGTATGTGGCTCTCAAGATTTTGGCTTTGTATGAGATGTTTGAGCTCCACAGAGACAAGTCCAAGTGGAATAGTCAATGGTTAAAGCCTTCTAGTTCTTAAAGAGACACTTTGTGGACTGAGGACAGAATGTGGGATTAGGACACAGAGGCCAGTCTTCACTGCCTAATAGTGTGGTGTTGGTAATGCCGCTGAGATTCCTGTAGCTCCAGTTTCCCTATTCTAAGACTAGCCAAAGATTGTTTTACAATGACTAAACCAAATTGTATGTTTGCAAGAACTTAGTAAACTAGAAAGTGTTGGGTGTTCCTGTGGGGCTATGGCAAATTCTTTTATGAACCACAGAGTCACAGCCTGCTAATCAAGAAAGGTCAACCAGCAGCAGGACCAGCCATGCATGGTGGCTTCAGGGCACAGGATGCTGGGCCAGCATCAGCCACCGGACAGCTGGTGCCTGGTAACTGCTGGTTCTCTCTCCCCCTGTGCTGCTTCCCTGGTTAGGGCAGGGAGAGACACAGCTGCTTACAGATTCCTTTCAGGGTTTCATATCAGTGTGTTTGCCTTTGTAGAAACTTTTCTAAAAATAGTAGACCTTAAAGTAAGCCCATGAATAGTGTGCCACATACCAATACCTCATAACCCAAGAAGCACTCACTGTTGCATATCTGGTCAGTGGAGTATCTAAAAGCATAGGAAGAAGCCACACCTTGCAAAATATACAATGAAATTGTATGTTGTCTTACTGTGAAAGCACTTAGAAATGAGTGTTTACTTAGTGCTCCTATTCAATGCCCTTAAAAAATTGCTTTTGATGATGTGACATTTGAGGAAGTCATACAGTTAGGGATGCTTCCTATTGAGAACTAAGCCAGTAAACTCCGGAGCAGGCAGTATTTGGTGCAGAATGATGAAATGCACACTTCTTTGCCCCCATGGGCCTCTTATTTCATTTGCCCTTTAGTTGATTGTACTTTTCTAAAAATGTCATAAAGGGGGGATGGAAAGTTACTTAGTAACCACTCTTTTATATCCTTGATCTTATCAACTAGTTCAGGAGAAGGGTTTGGCTAATAAGTAATAAGGGAATACAGGCACGTTTGGCTGTGTATGCTAATTCCACGCCTATGAACGTGGTTGAAGAAACTGAAGTCCAGCACTTTCAAAGATGTCAGTTGTTGCTACCAGGAAGTTTATATGACTGTAGAAATTTCATAGTGAAGCAGACTGTGTAGGTCATATTATATTGTTCCTAAAGATGAGTACAAAATGCTTGTGGCTTCTTCCTATGCTTTTTTTATGATTACAAAAAATTTAGAATATTCATTAGACATGCCATCAAAGTCAGGCGTGGTGGCACACACCAAAAAGCCTAGCACTTGAGAGGTTGGGACAGGAGATTGGAGTTCAAGGCAGGCTAGGATATATAGTGAATTCCAAGCCAGCCCGAGCTATGTAATGAGACCTGTCTCCAAAAAAGAGAAACAAAGGGAGGGAGGGAAGAAGATAACATGTAGTAACTAGCTCTTTTCTTCTTTACCTAATTCCAAAACAGTGCTGATTGTGGCTTATAAAAAGTGCTGACTACTGTATTTTTAGCTTGTTGGTTTATTACCATTACCCTGTAAAGTGACCATTTTTAAATTCTTAAAATGACCTTTTCTTGGTTCTTTTCCCACGCCATCTCTGGTTTTGCTTCTTCCTGTAACATCAGATCCGTGATGAGTGGGGCAATCAGATCTGGATCTGTCCGGGGTGTAACAAGCCTGACGATGGGAGTCCCATGATCGGCTGTGACGACTGTGACGACTGGTACCACTGGTGAGTGTCCAGGGTGCCCTGGGTACAGTAGCTGCTGTTTAGGTCACTCCCAAGAGCAGGTGCTCTCCAGCCCAGTCAGTGTCTTTAGAGGACAATATGGAGTAAACAGGGGCTCCCAAGATGAAATTAACTGCAAAACAATCATGGTGCTATCACCATGGAGTCTTAATATTTTGCCTCACTTACCTTCCCTTTCTTACAGAATTAATAAGAAATGCGGGCACGTCCCTGCCCTTCCTCTGGCGCTTGACTGCAAATGGCCCCTTTGTCTACGTGCTACAGCGTGCGGGTCAAAGACGGCTTGTTTGCTTTTTAAGTCTCTTCAGCAGTTCCCCCAAACTGAAGATCATTAACCAAAATACATTGTCTTATTTCATGCTTAAAATGTCACATGTAGAACAATGACCTGTTGAGTTATGAAGTATGAAAACGATGAGCCAGGTGTGGCAGTGCATGCCATGATCTGTGATCCGAGTTCTGGAGGCTAAGGCAGGAGGATCACAAGTTTGAGACCAGCCTCTGCTACAGAGTTTGAGGGCAGCCTGGGCTCCTCACCCTACCTCTGCCCATCCCCTAGAAAATTAAAAGATAAAAGCAAAGCCATTGCTCAAAAGAATTATACCGTTTCTGGCTGAAAGGCTAAGTAAATTAATGAATCTCCCATACGGCCTATACAGAAGACACCATGTAGTAAGATAATCCACATTCCCAACATGTACTACGTAAATTAGAGCCATTTGGCTGATTTCTGGTAAATACATTATAGACTGAAAATTAATTTTTTAATGTTTATTTTTATTATGGGGTGGGGCACACATGGGCCCAAACATAGTATGGCCTGCCTGTGAAGGTCAGAGGACAACTTGAAAGAGTTGGTTCTCTCTACCGTGTGAGTTCTGGGGAGTGACCTCAGGCTTAGAGGCGAGTACCTTTACCTGCTGTGCCTGCTCGCCAACCCTAAATATTTAGAAAAGGAAGTCATTGATGTAGCTCAGTTGGTAGAATGCTTGCTTAGCATGCATGAGGCCCTGGGTTCCATCCCCAGAACCCCACAAACTGATGGTGCTTACCCATAATCCCAGCTCAGGTGATAGAAGAGGCTTTGAGGATCAGGAGTTCAAGGTGATCCTGGGAGTCCAGGGCCAGTCTTAGAGAGATGACCCCTTTAAAAACATAGTATACAAACCAGACCCTGTCTCCAAAACAGGAAACTGGTGAACATAAGAAACTTGTTTATCTGATCATATTTTGGCATCTAGGCCCTGTGTTGGAGTAATGGCCGCCCCACCAGAAGAAATGCAGTGGTTCTGTCCCAAGTGTGCCAACAAGATAAAGAAAGACAAGAGGCACAAGAAGAGGAAGCACCGCACGCATTGACGTCGGACCGGCGGGACCGCAGCGCAGCGTGCCTGCTGCCCCTGGCCCTCTGGACAGAGTCGGGGCGGTTCTGCCGGCCCGGCCCGTCTCCCCAGGCCCTGTGGATGATGCACCCGGAAAGAGCAAGGACAAGAGCCGCCATCTGCTCCAGATGTCCCCTTCTGGAACACACTACCTGAGGTTCCGACCTCGAGGTGTGATTGAAGAAAAACTCCAGTGGAGGCTGGCCCAAGGTCTGCACCTCCATCATCCCATTACCACTGACGGGAGTAGTACTAGCCAGACCACACGTCTTCCTCCTGCTTTCCTTTCATCTCTCCAGGGCCGTTCATGAAGGCGATAGGTGAGAAGGTGATGTACAGACGGCCTCCACTGGAACTTAAGGATGGCATCGTCCTCGTCTGTAGGGTTTGCAATTCTTCTCCCCCCATTGTGAGGTAATCATAACAAAAGGACACTCCAGTTGGAGGACTGACTGCTAAATATTTTTGTGGGTAAGAATATATGAAGCTTCCCCCACTTCACCCCGTTTTTAGTACTAACATGTAAAATGTTCAGGCTTTTGTGAAATACCTTATATTTTTTAAGAAAAGGGTTTCTATCATGTCCTGTTTGGTTCCGTGCAGATTATTTTCGTTTAGCGTATTTTATAACTTGGTTGCATTCTAATTTTGCCCTTCTTTAAACTGCTGGGGTGTCTTCTCACCACATACACATTTCATCAACTTGTATAAAATCTCTTCATACTGAAAAGATTCCCACTAATGTAAATAATAAATATTTATGAAGTAGTTATTTTTAAACTTTTTTATCGTGTCTAATTCTGGCTTTCTCTGAAATCCACCCTGGTTTCAGCCATGTCAGGAATTACTGTTGCACGTGAGCAAAGAGCCATAGTCGGCCAGAGTCACTTCCCTTGGGCTGAAGGGAAGTGCATAGTGACCGGAACACGGTGGGCGCCCAGAATTCGGTGGGTGCCCTGAACACGGTGGGGAAAGGACCCTAGCAGTTGTAAGGAAACAAGGCAATTTAAATCTACAGTTGATGGTTTGAAATTGTTTTGTTATCTCTGTAAATCCTCTGACTTTTACTAAAAGGACATGTAGTTTCCACAAAAGTAAAAAAAAAAAAAAAACTGTAGCATTTTGTGTTTATATTGTTTTATTTCTACAAATTTGTTCATGGATATTGTGCTTTAAGGTTGAAATGAAGTATATTATGAATTTTTTAAAGAAAGCTCATCAAATTTCAGGGTATCACAAAACTTTATTATATTACTATACTGCCCACTATTTATTATATGTTATAGATATCTGAAACTTAAACCAAATGTTTTATTTTTAATGTAAAAAACATCAAATTTAACTTTATTAGCATATTTTAGTGACTTTGGAATAACTATGGACTTTTACTTGATTTTGAAATAATCCCAATTTGGGCACATGTGAAGGCTATCTTGAATGTTAGAATATGGGATTTGAACCTAATACAAATATATTAATAGAAAATGTGATTTTTTTTAAACTGCCAACTCAATTGATATGTGTTTAAATTAGTCCTGTTTTAAAACATATAATGTGGTTTCAGAAGTGTGATTCTCTGCCTTGATGTTAAGTTGCAGATCAGTGGGAATGGAGCTGACCTTGGAAGCGTGTAGAGTACCATTATCCTCCTTGTTCTGGAAGCCAGACGTTTTCTACCCCTGCCCCCCAAAAGCATCTATGTTGAGATATGTGGGGTTTTGTTTTGTTTTATCCATTAGAGACCATTCTAAATACTTGATACGATATTTTCACATGCACAAATACACCCATTAGTGCTTTTTTGGAGAGGGAAGAGGGGTGGGGGAAGTGCGAAATAAAGATTATTGGCTGTTTCGTAGTTCGCCTTTCCATTTTCTTTATTTGGGACTTAGTTCTGTGAGGTGTGGTCAACGAATCTAAAGTTTCTATATATAAGTGAGCAGGCCATGCTCCTGAAGGAAGAACGGAGGTGCTTATATATAACTTTCCCCTATTCCTCCTGTCTGAGAGACTTCAGCCTACACTACGTTTAAGGAATTTCAATCAGCTCACTGTCCCTTGCTATTTCATGGTTGCTTTCCTAAATCCAGTTCATGATTTTATAAATGGCCTTTGCAATAATAAAACCAAAGAATCATTTTCAGGGGGCTGGATGGCTCAAGGGATTAGTAATGGAATACAGAGCCTTTCACCTCCAGGTCACTGAGTCGAATCCAGTCCAGGTCACTAGAGACCCAAAGTTGTCACCATCTTATGATTGTTCAGTGGCTTGTGCAAAATGAACTGGTGGTCATAGTCTCTACTGGATGACTGTCTGACACCAACCAAAGGAAGTTCAAGAAACTGCAAAACAGAAATGTGGATTAGAAAATAAAACATGTATATGACAAAGAAAAGTTGGAAAGTTGGTCAAAATCATTCTTGAGAAAGTAATAGTAAAGTTTTAAAAAGAACAAATTTTAAACACTGTAGAAATCACATAGGAAACGGAGGCTGCTTTCCTTAAATAAATAGGATAAAACCAGAAAGGGCAGGAATACATAACGAGGAGAGTGAAGGTTGAGGGCAAAAAGACTATAGGGAGCTCCAGAATAAGAAGAGTGTGGTGGGGGCTGGGGACACGGCTCAGAGGGTAAAGTGCTTGCTGAGTCAGTGTTAGGACCTGAGTTTGGTCCCGACACCCAGGTAAAAGGGCACTGTAATGTGTACCTGTAACTCCAACTCTGAGGGGGCACACAGGTGGATCCCTGAGGCTTGCTGGCTAGCCAATCTAGTGCAGACACTGAACTCCAGGTTCAGTGAGAGACATTGTCAAAAAAAAAAATAAGTTGGAGGCTGGAGAGATGACTCAGCAGCTAACAGTACTGGCTGCTCTTGCAGAGGACCTGGGTTCAGTTCCCATCACCTATGTGGCAGCTAACAACAGTCCATATTTCAGTTACAGGAGATCTGGCACCCTCTTCTGGTGTCTGTGGGCCCTGCACACACTGGTATACCTAATACATGCAGGCAAAACACTCATGCACATAAAATAAAAATAATTTTTTCAAAAGTCGGGTAGAGGAGGTGAAGAAGGCTCAGGAGTTAAAAAGCCCCTATTGTTCTATCAGAGAACCGGAGTTCAGACCTCAACACCTACATCAGGCCACTCACAAACACCTGTAACTCTAGCTCCAAAGGATCTGACACCCCCTTCTGGCCTTCACAGGCACCTTTACACACATGCATGTATACATATACATAAAATAAATATTAAAAAAAATAATAGTAATGGGTGCTGGAGAGATGGATCAGTGATTAAGAGCACTGGTTCTTGCAGAGGACCTAGGTTCAGTTCCCAGCACCCAAATGGCAGCAAACAACCATCTTTATCTCAGTTCTAGGGGACCTGATGTCTTCTTCTGGCCTCCACAAACACTACATGCAAGTGGTCCCAGGCAAAGCACTCATAAACATAAAATAATTTTTTTTTGGACTTTTGGAGACAGGGCCTCCCTATAGCCCCAACCAGCCTGGAACTTACTATGTAGACCAGGCTGACCTTAATCTCACAGAGATCTACCTGCCTCTGCCTCCTAAGCGCTGGAATAAAATTTAAATAATTTTCAGTTTAAAAAATGATAGCAATAGAGAAAGATGCCTGAAGTTGACCTCTGCCCTCCAAATGCACCTATACAGGCAAGCACATAGGCACAGGCATATGCTGTGCACACACACGCATGCGGAAGAAAAGTGGAGTTTAGCTTTAAAAGGTAAAGGGAATCAGCTTCAGGAATGTGAAAAATTACTATAACTGAGAATTTGACTCGAAGAAGTAGTTCCCATTGGAAGGCTAGAAATTTTCCAGTTGTAAGTAAAATGGCAACCTGTTTCCATTTGTCCCATGGCGATCATTTTGATAGCATCAGTACTTTCCAAAAAGAAGTCAGACAAAGTTCTTATCCTGCCAGTGTTTCAGCAGGAGGAGATGATATTTAAGAAAGACACCTAGGGGAAACTGAGTCGCTCTTGTGGTGTGACACTCTGTTGTTGGAGCCTGGGGTGACGGCAAAGCATCGTTTCTGTGGCCAGCCACATGTTTGCCTTTGGAAGGGGTCTGCCACTAAGTGCAGTGAGCATCTTTACCCTCTGGCTGCGTGATGCCAAACATCCTGAAGAAAATCAGAAGAGATCAGAGTATTCTGAGCGTCAGGCTTTTCACAGAGATAAAGTCCATTACTCTACAATATCACCTACAACACCTTTGTTCTTTCCTTCAATACAATGATTAAACAAAGACCTACTGGCCAAATTAAAAGTGTAAAATGAACACCTTCCCACTGAGAATGCTAATTAATGAAGTCTGCTGAAGGCAGGCTAAGTTCTTGATACCAGTAATTTTATGGCCAATCTTTTTGAACTGTTGCAGTTTTCTCTGGAAGTTTAAAAGGAGTTACCTTGAACGAAGAATGCAGAAATGTATTCTCTTGCTACAATAATATTAATCATTTCTCTTAGGAAACTATTTCTTTGAGAAGCTTGCATTAATGCCTAAAATGTATAAAGTAACCATGAATCCATATGCACAAATCAGTAGAAGGCAGTGAAATTCGAGAAGTCCAGCAGGTGGACTGTTTATTCTAAATTTCATTTAAATACAACCTGTTGGGACTGGGGAGATGGCTCAGTTGGTAAAAGTGCTTTCTGTGAAATCAAGAGGATTTGAGTTCAAATCCCTCCAGCCCCATAAAAACCAGGCATGTCTGTAACCCCAGTGTTAAGGGGCAGAGACAGCCAGATCCCCACAGTTCACTAGCTGGCTAGTCTAACTGAAATGGCAAACTATACTGATGTCATCTTCTGGCCTCTATACCTATATGCATGGAAATGCACACGTGCATACGGCATACACACAAAAATAAATACAACATTTTAGCTAAGAATGTAACTCAGAGGTAGAGTTTGTGCTTAGCATGCACGAGGCCCTGGGTTCGATCCCCAGTACCAGAACAAATAAACATTTGGTATACATATGTTACTAAAATGATTACAGGATGGCTCAGCAGGTAAAGGTGCTTGCTGCCAAGCCCGAGGCCCCGAGTTTGATCTCTAGGGTCCACTTGGTGGGAGAGGGCAACCAAGTTCCATAGGTTACCCTCTGACCTCCCTGGTACACATACCCCACCCCAGCACACTCAAAATAAATGTGTAAAAAAAAGAAAAAAAGAATGTTTAAACTGCTGCTGGTTTTCCACCCTGCCTAGACAACCGAATTTTTGTTTGTAGAGCAGGGCCAGACTCACTCGTTCACTGCGCATTTGTAGCCAGCCTTTGCAGAAGGTAAGGACGTATCACTTCTTGGGTGTGGCACCTTCATCTTCCCCCTCCTGTGGTTTTGTAACCATTCCTTCAATATTCTGTGTGTCATTCAGGTATAGTAACAGATGCCTGTAACCCCAGCACTCCAGTGACTGAGGGAGGCAGCAGGACGGAGAGTTTGAGGCCAGTGGTCTCCCTGCCCCCCTCCCCTTTTTTTTTTGTCTTTTTGAGACAGGGTC